CAATTCGTAGTATAAATCAAAAGTTTGCAACTACAATAGTAAATAACTAATTTTTTGTGTTTAAAAATAAAAATTGAGTCCTTTTTTTGTTTAAACATAGGGAATTTGGGAGAAAGAAGAATTTGTTCAAATAATTACTAGAAATATAATTCTAACTATTTGAACCTAAATTCTTTGACTTAGTAATAAACCATTAAGTCTATTTTGGCTAATTCTAGAGTTTTATTGAGTTAGCAACCATTTATTTAATATTTTATTTTTGAATTTAACATCAAAGATTTTAAACACATTTAATGTTAAGTAACTAATTTTCAGTATATAGAAAAAGAATTATGTTGTATTGTACTTTCTTTTCTTTTCTTTTTTAACAAGTTGCAACTTTTTGGGAGGGAATCCCAACCCTACCTCTAAAGTTAAAAATGTACTTTATAATCAAACATATAGTTATTGGATTACAAAATTCAAGCATGTCTTTTATTGTATAATTAACTATTATATACTAAACAAAAAATTATTTACACTGATTCATTGGAATGAATTAGATGTGGCATATTTATTTTCAAAATAAGAACGATGTGAAATGTACTTTTTTGCTTCTTTTTTTTTTTTTTAATCTCCAATCAAGCGGCCTGTACTAAATTCATATCATCAAGTAAACTAATATTTCATGGACCTCAGTATGGTCTAGAATAAACTTTTTTATCAGCTAAATTACTACTCTTTTTACCACTCTTTTGGGTATTATTGATTGGATATGAATTGAAATTTCATTCAAGAAATCTACAATGCTATTGGAGTATTGGGTTATGTTATGATTAATTATTTTTAAAGCATTTGCGTATAATGCGTTTTGTATTCATATCCTAATAATTATTTTTTATAAATTATTTTGAAATATTTTATAAATTTTATATATTATTTAAAAAAATTTAAATTAAAATAAAATAAAATTAATAATTAATAAATCAATAATTGAATTAAGCGGTCTTGTCCATCATCAACTTATGGGATGGGACAACAATGGACATTGCACCAACCGTGTTTCGGGCTCAATTGTTGGTTCTAAGCCTTAGAGTTTGGGTGAGGCGGAAGTCAGGGTTTTGAACCCTACCACCACCGTGAATTCCATCAACTTGCAATCTAATGGCCGTACACCTCATATGAGGGGGTGAAATGTTCACCATTTTGAAAATTTTCAACTACTAACAAACTAACTCTACTAATTTTTTAATCATTACTCTTATTAAAAAATCAAAAAACAATGGACATTGCATACAAATCCATGTGGGCATGGGGCCAAGCCAGTTGCTTTCTCCCATGCTGCTAGCTACCGTGAATCGGATTTGGGATGCCATCACGCCACAATTTCTATGATATTTCCCGTTAAGAAAGTCTTTCACCTACTTAATGATAACAATGGATACTAAGGCTCCACGAGGCATTAAACGAGTGATTCAAGAGTGCACTGAAAATTTAGAAGATCAAAATTCTTAGATATCTTCATCCAAATCATTAAAAATATATGGCACTTAGGCCTATGGCCCAACAACTTTAAATTGATGTGTAAAATATAATATTTTAATTTGAGAGCTGGAATTCGAATTATTTTATTTATATTTGTAATTTTATTATAAAAAATCATTAAAGATATATTAACGGTGCGTTTGATTGGAATTACTCGCATATATTTGGTTTGACTAAAATAAAATGAAAGAAAATAAAAGGATGGATTGCCTAAGGAAATTAATTATATTATTTTTTAATGTTATTATTTGATTGATTAAAATAATAATCATTTAAAAGAGTAAAATTATTTTTGTCTGCATAGGGCTTTTAACTTTTTTGTTTGATTTTGGTAAATTTTTAAGAATTATTTTTAAAAAATAATAATAACTGCCTACATTAATTATTTATTTTAAAAATATTAATGCATGTAATAAGCCCCACAGCTACTGTTATTTTATTCTAATTTTAACATTTTCTATGTGTATTTTATGTGATTATTGTAATAATACTTTTTTCTCATGGCACTGTATATGAAACAACTCTAAACGCGTCCATAATCTCCATTCATTGAATTTAAATTTGGCTACCTTTTTCCAATATCATAATTCTCCATAATATATAAAGGTTTATAAAGAAACATATAATATCATTATTTTTAAGAAAATAATTAATATATTTTTAAATTTAACATATTTTTTTATATTTATCTAGATTAATTATTAAAATATAATATAAATATAATCAATTTAATTAATTTTTATATTATGTATAACTATATTTTTAAATTTATTTATTTTTAATTTTAAAATAAAAAATTAAATAAAAAATTTTTAAAAATATATTGTATAATATAATGAATTAAAAGATCTAACAATCAGTCTCGCTATTTTTTTTTATGTCATCAATCACTAGCATTAACGCATAGCACAACTTTATGCAAGAATTTTACTCAATTGGCCCAAAATACAATATTTTTACCTCTCACAACCCTTTTAGCTTCACTATATAGTTAAACAATGTCCACAGGAAAAAGTGTTATTCAATCTAGATACATCATATTATATAATATTAATTATTGAATGGGGTAAATTTTAATATCTAAGGTTTTTCTCCATTCAATCACTCTTATCTTATATTTTTAGTATAGTTTAAATTACAAAATAAGAAGACTTATATCTTTAAATTAATTAAAGTAAATAAAATTTATAAAAACAGGTAAATAATAACCTATTGCAGGGGTGGAATTATTTTGTGTAGAGGTTGGGCACATCCCCCTCCTCTTTCTAAAAGAAAATAGAAATACAAAAATTTAGGCCTAACGAAGTTTAACCCCTTGGAAAATACCATTACTAATTAATTTATACATAATTCAAATGTAATGGCTATATTAAAATAAAATCTAAAATCATAAATTAAAAAGAGAGAATGAAACTATGTTAAAATGTACAAACAATATAAAAACGCAAGTTTAAAATCTAACCAGAGATAATAAAAAGGGCTCAATCATTAATTGACAAATTCATTATTTACTTTTTAAACTTTTATTTTTAGAGTTTTGGCTTAAATATCTGTTCTTAATCATTGTAATAAAATATAAATAACCGTAACAACTTAAATAGCAACATTCTTATAGCACAACTAATTAATGAGCCTTATCATAATTGATTATCCAAATTCGACCACAGAGCTATTGTCTCTTCTTTTTTTTTTTCTTTTTTTTTAATATCTTAATTTCACAATGAGAGGCAATCATCTTATATTCTTTATTTTATTTTACTCGCATGTTATGTGATTCAAACTCAAAATCTTTTACTTTTAATGGAAGAAAATGATCACTAAACTACTTAGATCATTGACGGCTGCTGTCTCTTTTTTTCATTTCATAAACCAAAGCTGTATTACTACAATAACCCATAGCAAGGAGCAAGGGCAGAAACACCCAATACAAAACAATATGTATTTATATTATACTCGACCAACATGCTAGGTGATGACCTAAGTATAGTTAGTTAGCTTTTTCATTTATTTATGCCCTCATTCCTTTTAGGTCGTCACCTGCGCCTCACATGTGTACGCACATTGTATTGCAATTGTGCCCCACTAACAATTTCTAGCTTTTTCTTTCCAAGGCTAGTTTGGCCACCTTTACAAAAAGTTTGTCAAGTCCACTTTAGTCTCGTCACCACTAACTTTAAACGTTGAGATTCCAAATTCCAATCCAAAAATAAAGAGGATACATAAATTGTGCTTTCTTTAATTCTTCACTTTATTATTATTATTATTAAATTTTCTTGGTAGATAAGATTGTGTTTCCTAATTGTATTTGAGATTGAATTAGATTTTCTCCTTTTGGTACGTTTGGCTGCAAGTAGTTAAAAGGCTAGCTAGCGCACAACTGTCAAGATGTTCCCTTCTTCTTCTTTTTTTCCCTTTTAATTTACAATCCAAATATTTTTTTAAATTAATTTTTGTATACTTTAAAATTATTTTTTTAGTGATCTTAAAAATATATTTTTACATTAATCTAATATATTTAAAGAAAATAATTTCTTTATATATTGGTTTCAAAAATTTTAACACTGTACTTAATTTACAAGGCCGCACTTCTTTTTAATGAATCCAACGTATGCTTCGGGTTAAGATGTTCCCTTTAAAGTTTATATCATAGCATAGTTATCATATTTTTTCCAGATAGAATACTTTATATTTGAGGGATTGAATCAAGACAATCTTTTTTTGTATGGTATAGATAGCGTCTAGCTAGCTAGCTAGGAAGGCTGTGTATAACTTTCGTTCGATTCACTCTCAGGTCAGGGGCATTAATTGGTAAATTATCCCTAGAATGAGTAAATCAAGGAACGAACAAATTAAAGTTGCTTTTATTGTATAATTTAAAAAATCATAAGGTAATTCAATATAAATATTCCATTTTAAAGCTAATCAAATTGAAGTCATACCTATTGTGCCATTCAAAACCAAAATAAATTGATTTTTTTGGTAGTAAACGAAAATATCATAAAAGAAAAACCAAATAAAACATCATCAAGTTCTGGGGAATTCAACCCCAACAATATCAGCAATACATGCATTCGTTACAGGATGGGGGATAGATTCAAAAACAACAAAATCTCCGAAATTGGTCTTGTAAGTCAAGTAATTTTAATTACTCTTATAAGATTCATATCTTTTTTTTAAAGGTAACAGTTCGAGTCGGCTTCATGATTAAATGTTAAAAAAAAAAAAATACAACAAAATCTTCAGTCATGTCGTGCCCCAT